ACCTGGATAAAGGGAGACGACGTCAAAAGATCGATGTCGGATAAAAAACTTAATTGATTAATATTGGCCATGGCATCAGACTGCATTCACCATTAAATACAAATTGATAATTGGACAGTAGTATGGCATAGCAGTTGGTTGTCGGGTGGGTGTAAAAAGACTTTACAAATGCACCTCATTTGACGCACATATTTACACTCGGACCAAACCATTTTCTCGTCTTCGATGTTTTTTTTTTCATTTTCTGTTATTTCTGTCCATGATTGGATAGAAAAAAAACGAACTACAAATACTCCAAGATTTTTTTGACTTCATTAAAAAATAAAATCGTTTTTGTAGGATGGAAACTTTTTAAGGTCAACCCCCCTACCCAAACTAAAGCAAATAAGTTTTTTAACCGACATCGATCTTTTGACGGCGTCCCTAACCATACTAACTGTCTGAAATGCTATTTTGAGGTATCTAAAATCAAGAGAAAGTGTTGAACATAGGAATACTGTGAACAGTTGACCTGTCCTGTGTATTATCTCTATATGTTTTATAACGTAACTTTAACAACTTTGTCGCAATGCATACATTCTACATAAACTTTGCACGCGACTTTGCTGTCACGTACCAAACATTTCGTACTCTGCATCTTCTCGGCAAGGCAGACGTTCCACTAAATTTTACCACATTTGAACTCTTTCTATGTAATGCTACTACCGCTAAATTTTCACCTAACATTTTTAACTTTCTCGTAACTTTTTCAATTTTGCACTCATCTTTGCATACTTTCCAATTAACTTTATGAATTTTGCACAGTACATTGCGAATATACCATGTACATTTTGCAGCATTATTTCATAGCATTATATGTGTTTTACGCCACTTTAACAGCTATGCATCTTTACAGACTTTCCACGTAATGTTACCAATTATTTCAATATCTTGCACATGTACAATGTAACTTTAGTTATTTTCCGTGAAAAGATGGCAATTAGAAATAAGGTTCCCTGTAAATTTACCAACTTTGCAGACTTTCCACGTAACACTACAAACTTTTTAAGTAACAATGTCGAATTTCTATTCAAATTTACCAACTTTGCCCAAAACTTTACAGACTTCCTTCATAGCAATAAAGACAGTACACGCAACTTTGTTGACTTTCCACAAAGTTTAGCAAAATTGCACACTATTTGTATCCAATAACTTTGCAGACTTTCTATGTAGAAATAGAGACGTTTTAAATAACTTTATAGACTTTTTATGTATGCAACTTTGCAGGTATTCTATATCACTTTGCACACTTTGCCTGCAACATAAACTGCGTACTTGATATTGAAATCACCAATAGTACCGGTAATTATATTTTCATTGTAGTGAGATGCTGACTCAAGCATTTACTAGTATTCATATATGGAATAGCAAATTTATCAGATGTAACTTCACAACATTTTAAGCAACTTCCTCCTACCGGTACATTGAATGGAAATTTGCTGAATTTCATCTTCTTTGCACGCAACATTGAAGATTTTTCATGCAAATTTACCATGCTGTATGCAACTTTGCAGACTTTATGTAATGTAATTATTCTACCTATAGCTATTAATTAGCCTCTAATGACAGATCTGAGTTATCATCTATGAATACTGTCCTACATGCTGGTATTAAATTTGCTTCATAGTTAAATTTGAGAGGTAGATCTTGCCAATGTCTGTCAAGTCTATATTTAAATGTACCGGGTATTTACATTTTTGGCACTCACGACATGTTAAGTGAGACTTTACACATAGCTTTACTAATATTGCATGTATTTTTACAGGCTTTTCAATTAATTCTGCCAACTTTGAATGTAACATCTCAAATGCTCTCTGTGACCAACTTTGCATTCAACTTAGCAGTCTTTCCATGTAACTTAGTTGCGACTTTGCAGGCTTGTAATCTAATATTACCCACATTGCATGCAACTTTACATACGTAGTTTCATGTAACTTTACTTCCCACCCAACTCCATTGACTATATAAGTAACTTTCCACCAAACTTTTTTCAACTTTCCATGTAACTTTATCAATTAAGTATGCAAGTCTCAAACTTTGGACGCAACTTGCCAACCTTTTGGGCAATTTTACCAACTTACGTACCCTCACAGTCATGCCACATAGCAATAAGGATTATCAACATAACTTTATCCATTTTGCATGTATCTTTGCAGACTTGTGTAGAAATACAGACTTCCCATGCAATATTATCATCTCTGCACGCAACTTTGCAGATTTTCCATGACTTTGCGACTCCACATGCAACTTTGCATGTAACTTTTCCAATTTTGCTTGCAGCTTTGTACATGTTCCACCTAATTTCACCTCTTTTTGCAAACTTTCTACGCAACTTTACACACTGCGCCTGCAACTTCCCACGTAACATTACCATCTCTGCAAGCAAATCCTGCTTTTCACCTAATTTTATCTACTTTGCATGCAACTTTGCGGACTTGCATGGAGATTTTCCAAGTAACTTTACCAACTTTGCGGATTTTCCACCATAATATTTGATATAGAAATCACCAATAGTAATTACATTTTCATAACAAAACTATCAGGTGGACGATCTGATATACAAGACCAACCAAGTGATCATGGTTGTAAGGTGGAATTGCATAACTGGAAAATTAAAGTCGTCACCTGCGCATTGTTCAGATGGCCATAGCATATCATTGTTTACAAACAAGCATCTACCCATGAGCCTTTGCATTTTTAGCGTGTGTTGTTATCATCGCTTGGCACTCAATTCCTGTGTGTGTGCAGGTGATGATCCTCCTGCTTTAAATGAAAGTTAAGTTAAAGTAAATGTGTATCTAGGCACAACGTTTAAAGTTTGTGTTGATTCGCTGTAAATCTTTAGCAGAATGCCAAAACATGTATCAGGATTGATTTTTTGCTAGAAACGTTTTGGTAGCTGTACGGAACAATAATGGTCAAAATTTATCAAACCAATACATATGAAATTTTCAAAAAATTTGTTTTAGTCACATGACTAATGAGTAAAAATACTAATGGCATATCTACTGTCATTCTTGGTGTCAAAAAATACACTATTGTAAAGAATACACCATGAAGTATAAATGAGTATTTTGTTTTTCTCTAGAATGATAACTGTTTCTTCAAAATTGTTTGTGTCACTGTCAGGTCGCATCTGTTTTTTGGACAATGTTTTACAAAATACATGGTCACATTCTCACAAAATTGAGGCAAGATTTGGAAGCTAATCTCCACAACCGAAAAACAGTACTACCATAGTGATAGCAGTTTCCTGTTTCACAGATAACCCTCTGTTTTCTTTATGCAAGTCTAGATTACCTATTTCTAGAAATGACAAATGAGTTCACAGCACATTGTCTTCATAGAAAAAAGTCCAAACATAGATGTAACATTAGACATAATGTGAAAACAAATCAAATAACTTTTCACATAAATTTATATACTATAAAAGAATCAGGACATTCTATGCCCAAACTTTGTTTCTTTAAGGAACCATAAATGTACTCATAAATAAATTCCCTGTTATTTCCTAGAAGTGGATCTAATTGCTAATTAAATTAAATATTGTCCATTGCTATTAGCACAATGATAATATAAGGTGATTACGAGGATACCCAAAAGTATGCACGAAGACAATACAGTGGTAGTATCGAGGTTGATGCTACTGTGTATTGTCAGAGTGCATACTTTGTGGTATCCTCGTAATAACCTCAAGTTACTATTTTGCAATACCGTAAAATTACGGTACGCTATTACTTATGGCGTTATCATGACAGATGTATAATGATAATTTGTATCATTATCTGTACAATGATTACAGTTCATACCATTGACAAGTGTAATTTACAATCATATATTTTTTTCCAAAATATGTGTTCATTCAAAAGTGAATATTTACTAGATCGTTACATTGTCAGAACCACATGGTTAAAAAAGAATGATATGTAAAGTCACATGCATAAAGTATCCATTAGCACCAGTATTTTCTAAAACCTAAAATTGTTAGAAATCATGCAAGTATATTGGATCCTGTGAGTCATGGTTTCAACTTCAGTGTAAACAATTGCTCATACATGTAGGTCCATACTGGATAGAGACAATATTGATCCCCAAACCAGTATGGAAAGTACTCAACAGTTTATTGGTTAGATAGATTATATGAATGTCAACTTTTTCAGATCTCACACTTGATTGGTAGACCTGTTACAAGATTCATTGATGAGACATTGGGGCAGCAAAACACACTGTAAGTTAGATGGTGTTACCATGGTAATCCAGATAACAAATTGCTAGTCAGATGGTGTTACCATAGCAATAACAGTAATGCACTTCTAGTCAGATGGTGTTACCATGGTAACCAGGATAATGCACTGCGAGCTAGTTGTGTCCCAAACCTCGTCCTGGACATGTATTTGTGTTGTTAATTCATCACCATCTGTATGTACAGTCTTGAATCTAAGATGTGCAGATTTTGGGGTCAATATTGAAGTCACCTTGTCCTCAATTATTTTTTTTTTAAATGATTCTACTTCCAGTACCAAATAGCATGAATATGACCCAGCCAGTAGCAACCACACAAGACGCTGAACCAAACACTGTTGCCCAACTCTGTGTATATTCCAATATATGACCAGTGATGTAGACACCAATAAAACCAGGCATTGCTCCAGCTGTATTCATGACTCCTATGAAAAACAGAATACTTTAAAAGTACCGGTACATCTACATTTAGAGGCCACTTACAGATAATTCAAACATGTGCATAGATTTTTACATACACACAACATTGACAGAAAATGTCAACTTCTTGTTAAACATTTTTGGTAAAAGTGATATTTACAACTTCTTGTTAAAAACCCCAAGTCCAATTGCTTTGATATTACATATATAGGTACTACATGTAGACTTCTTTCAGATTTGTTCATTTTGTAATGAATTCTTCAATTCTCTAATTTTGATGAATATTTTTGTAATTTTTGGTAAAAGTGATATTTTCGACTTCTTGTTGAAAACCACAAGTCTGATTGCTTTGATATTATATATACATGTATAGGTACTACAGGTACCAGATTTTTACATTTTGTGATGATATCTTCAATTCTCTAATTTTAATAAATATTTTTGTCTTTGTAAAAAGTGATATAAATATTGAATAAATAAATTAACTATAAACTATACATCCATAGATAGTAACAACAAATTGTTTATAAAAAGTTAAAGCCAGCTTGAGAGATATAGTACAGTCTAGGCGTAACTTTACTAACTTTTTATAAAAAAAAAAAAAATATAGTATTAATGTCATCAAATTTTAACCAATTCCTAGTAGTATTTACCTAGTATGTTACTATTATTAGACATATTTAGGGCAGATTACGCTGCATAATTTAGAAGTGTGATAGTTTTGAAAACAAGATTAGCTTAAAGCTATGTTTTGCTCACACTATGTGTTGGTAATTCTCAGTTTGTAAGGTTACTTACCAAATACTGAACCTGCCCACTGAGGTGCAATATCTTGTGGATTTGTAAGAACACCGGCGTTACTAAACGACTGGAAGACTAGAGCGGTAGCTGCAAATGTCAATGATGCATTGTAATATTCAGATTGTCCAATCAGAATAAGACAAACAATTATTCCAAGTGATGCAATCGTCTGTAAAGAAATGTCATAGCATTAATAATAATTAATTAATAATAATAATACTAGTAATAATAATAATAATAATAATATGTCTAATTGTGATTACCTGATGTTGACTACCGAACCTAATGTCCTGAAACATGTGAGAGTGTTCGATTGGTGTTCCAGTAAATTATTATAGGTGAGTACTGATGCAGAAATGAACCAGATATTGCTTATGTAGGTAAACAAAGATACAGTGGGATTTGTTCAGAGGAGACAAATCCACAGCAAGCCTTTGTTGCTAGAAACAGGTGAACATAGAAATCAGGATTCTATGTTTTGAAAGAGTGCACTCATTTTTATCAGTGGTGCAATCTCTGCTGTAAATATTCATGCTTTCTTCAGGTTTCCTGGAAATGGTATGTACGATGTAAATGGGATAGAAATAAGCAGCTAAACTGTGAATGACAAACAATCTCCAGAGTCCCTAAATAGTTATAGACAGTAAACCAGGGGTGATAAACTACAGAGATGCAATAGGAGAAGTCTGCAGGGTCTGTATAATTGGAATCTTCTTTCTCATCTATGGGCTAATGTATTATGATTGGATATGTCAGGGTTTCTAATCACTTCATCCGCAAGAAAGATATGCATGTCAGGGAAATAGACAGCTCATCAACAGATATGAAAAAAAAAAAGATATTTCTAGAAAATATTGTTTTTCATTCGGAATCAAATTTAGGAGAGGGGGGTTGGAAACAATACCTGCATGATTATGCAACATCAAAATTATGTGTCAGCCATCTTGTTTACTTTATATACACAAGGACGACCAAACAAAGATATATACCAAATTATATTATAGCATTATCAAAGCTAGGGAATTTATGATGCCATTGCTGCTGATTATTCATGATAATGTATCTCATTATTGAGCATCAAGGCCCTGTACCATGAATATGAATACTATGTTGTTTTCGGATATGAATAAAGGAGAAGCTATTTAAAAAGAAAAGGAATTGTGAGGTAACAAGTATTAGAAGTATGCCTACAGAGCAGAATACTGAGAGATGGATTTGTTCTGCTTTTTGTAGTGAGTACGGTAATACTTCATTATTTGCAAAACGAATTAACGTGACGTGTATTTCCACAGCGTTGACTTCCCCGTAAATGTCACAGTCTGGAGGCACAGTTTGCATAAACAAATGAAAGTGTTTTTCTTTAATTTTTTAGTAAACCCAAAACATGAATCACATTTAATTGTAGCAATTTAGGTACAGAAAGTGTTTTAACATTTTTCTAACCCACAAAAAAGAGAACTGTAAGGGGAAGGGTCAGGATGCTTCCCCTCAGTCAATCACTAGCAGGTGCTGTATCACCCATACGACCTACATGTGACCCAAAAAACACATTTTTTAGCCTTAGCGGATTTAAAAATGATTTCTCATCTATATCCATAATGTATAAACAAAGCAGTAGACTAAGATGAAATGTATGTAAACAGAGTTTCAAAAATCCAAGGTGGCTTCCAACCATTGTGAATAATCATGGTGGGTTTGAGGAATTGATGTTATGAGGCCTTGATTATATAACCCAAGTTTAAGATCAATTTAGAAACTGATTTTCAGAATTTTTATTAATCTAATCTATGTGATAGATTTTTTTTATTACCCATGCCTTTTTTACGTTAATCTGATTGGAAATTAAGAAGTTAAAAAATATATAAAACACATGAAATCATGATCATGTGACTTCTAAATTAAATATCAATATGGCAACAAGCTCACTATACTTACATGAATGCATTTTCTTGCTGTTGTGACTGTGTAGCCAAAAGAGACAAGACTATCTGCAACATATCCTGTTGCAATGGATGATGGGATAGATACTATCCAAGGGACCACGTTAAAAACCCAGCCCTGGTAATCAAAATCAAAAACAGCAATAAATGCATAAGTACATTGAGTCAAACTATTCAGTGACTTGGTAGTAACTACAGTGACTTTGGATCATTTGTGGTAGCTTGAAAAGAATAAATCAGTTAGTTTATCAACATTTTGGAAAAGTTGAAGTGCACCTGTTATTAAAAATTATGATTTTAGCAGTTATGCACATATATTTATTTTAATTTATGCAAATAATCAAATTAATAATCATTTTAGAACTGACTTAGTAAATACACTGTGCATTATTGCATATTGAGACACAATCTTGTTACTTCCTTACTGCAATGAAAGACAGACCTGCCCAGGTATTGTGACGACACTTATCATTTGCATGCATTAATATACGGTATATCCACACATTGTTTTCTAAATTTTGATAATTGAAATCATAATTTTAAGCCATTTTGGATGAGATTTTGGATTAAAATTAGGTAAATAGTTTTGAAATTATAACAACTTTGTACTTAAGTGTATAACACTCAAATTTGATCAACATGTAAGTGGCTTCCTACTTTTACAGAGTGTGCAGACTATTTGATGTTAAATCCATTCAGCATCCGAATATTTCCCGCAAAAAATTTAGTGCCACATTTTGCCTGTTTTAAAGCATTCACTATTAGCTATGGGTTTTGGCCAACATTTAAAAAAAAAAAATAAAAAAAAAAAGTGAAAATGTTACATTTTATTCTGTTAACAAAAGTGTTGGTGTGCAATGGTTTAATATCTCCAGTAGAATGATTATGCACATAATTTGGAAGGTTTTAGTGTTGAAGTGTAAAATTGAACTTTGACCCCTCTGAATAGTAGATAAGCTGTTGAATTGATAAGGCTATCATACCAAAGGTTTTTATCTTGTTGATACTGTTATAGTCATCTGGTAAATGTAAAAATTATATTTTGAAAAATGTTTTAACAACAATAATAATGTCATACAGGAGAACTATTATTTAAAAAAATATACATTTGGAGAAAATATAAATAAAAGAAATCTTACTTTTTCCTCTGGGTATTTTTCAGTAAAATATGTAGGTAGCCAAGAAAATAAGAGAAAAAATGTATAATTTAAACAGAAATGTCCAAGCACCATTGCCCTGTAATTACAAAAATAAAGTGTCAGTGATTGAAAGAATATATCAGGAAAAGTTTACTACTACAGTACTTCCCCAAGTATAAGCCCCTCCACGAGTATAAGCCCATTCCTCTGTTTTTGGACATTTAACGAGTTGAGGGCATCCCTGAGTATAGGCCCAGGGTGATTTAACTGGGTGTCGACGAAATTTATTAAGATATACATATGCATGCAAAATTGTATTTCATTGCATAAAAATAGGCCATTGGCCTGTTGCTCAACGGCTATTGTACAAAAGATTAGTGCTGTATATGACAAATACCACGCCAAAATTAGGAAATTGAAAATTTCCTTAACAAATTAACAAAACTGATAGAGTAGTATAGAAGAAATTTTAGAGTTTTGGGGGGTTCATTTGCATAATTTTTGGCAGATCGACTTCTCATGAACAAATTACCATCTACACTCATCAAGGCATCCACACACCAAAAATCGAGTCAAACGGTTAGGCGGTTTTTGAAAGAAGTCGTGCACAGACAGACAGACGGACGACAGGCGCAGGACAGAAAATCATAATTGGTAAGGTAGTTTGATTCCAGATTTCATAGTGCATGGCGGGCGAACGTACGGAACATAGATCACACTGTTTCTATTCTATTTACTCAGGATGAACCTCAATGTTGCAATACTGAAATAATCCATATTTCTTCTTTCTAGTAGTAGTAGTACGGTAGTAGTTTTCCAAATGGCAAAAATGTGATTGTCAAGTCGTGAAACCTGATCACTGAACATAGTTTTACTTTTCCGAATAATCTTGTCCATTGAGCCTATCGTGAATGGGGTGTGAACGAGCAAACTATTTTTCAACATGACTTAATGGCGACCATGAAAGGTTTAAATACTTCACTCACCCACCGAAAATTGCAAATGAACAGCTTTTAGTGGAAAAAATCACTGTTTTTTTTGTCGAAATCAGTGTTAACAGATCGCATTTTAACATCGCGGTAATTCACTTCGTCAATAATCAGAAAACTTCGTCTGTATGACATTTTCATTGGTTAACGAAAGACGTGACCTGTTAGATCAAAGGAAGTTTTTCAGGTCAAATTATGATGAAACCATGGTGGCAGTAGTTTTGTATTGAGGGTTTGCATACAATCGAAAAGATTCCACAACGAAGATAATAATAAAGGTTCTTGCCTTCGACTGTTTTCCCACAGACTCACCCCATTTTTGCACCATAAATTCAAACAGTATGTAAACTGTATTGTAATAAAAATGTGTGTATTTTTATGAACATGTTTGTTTCTTCATTGTAAAATATTTCGTTGAAATCAATGACAACTGTTTTGCATTTTTTCCTCAAAAAGATGTAATATTCTTCCGAGGGCGGCGCTGTGAACAAAAAATGTAATTCGGATAATTTTTCGAGGTTGGAAAGATGGTTACAGTTTTAAACACACTAAAAAATTATTTTTTTCTGAGGTGGTTCTTGAGTATAAGCCCACCCCCTAATTTTCCTGATTTTTCATGTTCGGGCCCCTGGGCGTATACGCGGGGAAGTACGGTAGATATAACTAGATAAAATACATCACATGCAAATCTTGACTGGTTACACCCTCAAATGTCAGAAGCCAGGATACCTTGCTAAAGCTCTCCATGGTACACTAGAAGATGGTATTGACTTACCAGAAGCCAGGATGCCTTGCTAAACCTCTCCATGGTACACTAGAAGGTGGTATTGACTTACCAGAAGCCAGGATGCCTTGCTAAAGCTCTCCATGGTACACTAGAAGATGGTATTGACTTACCAGAAGCCAGGATGCCTTGCTAAAGCTCTCTATGGTACACTAGAAGGTGGTATTAACTTACCAGAAGCCAGGATACCTTTCTAAAGCTCTCCATGGTATACTAGAAGGTGGTATTGACTTACCAGAAGCCAGGATGCCTTACTAAAGCTCTCCATGGTACACTAGAAGATGTATTGACTTACCAGAAGCCAGGATGCCTTGCTAATGCTCTCCATGGTACACTAGAAGATGGTATTGACTTACCAGAAGCCAGGATGCCTTGCTATAACCTCTCCATGGTACACTAGAAGGTGATATTGACTTACCAGAGGCCAGGATACCTTGCTAAAACTCTCCATGGTACACTGGAAGATGGTAATGACTTACCAGAAGCCAGGATACCTTGCTAAACCTCTCCATGGTACACTAGAAGGTGGTATTGACTTATCAGAAGCCAGGATGCCTTGCTAAAGCTCTCCGTGGTACACTAGAAGGTGGTATTGACTTACCAGAAGCCAGGATACCTTTCTAAAGCTCTCTATGGTACACTAGAAGGTGGTATTGACTTACCAGAAGCCAGGATGCCTTGCTAAAGCTCTCCATGGTACACTAGAAGGTGATAATGTATCTGAATGGTTGAGAACATCTTCAGGTGTTTTTATAATTCCATTATAAAATAATCTAATATTTAATCTTTGTTTCATTAAATAAATTCTGACCATCAACGCCCATAATATTGCACACGTTCCAAATATATAGAATACTCTATGCCAGTCATAATAAGATAAGACAATAGAACCAAGACTTCCTGATAATAAATTACTGTAAGAAAATAACATAATATGAGCAGAATATAATCGAGCGGAGCTATGTCACGGAACGTTCTACGTGGCTAAGATGTGCACCACTGTACCATGCATTTCCAGCGATGCTATGGAACACTGGTTGCTGTACACTGATAGAAATGTTATTTATAAAGATGTAATAAAACAATATTATTATGGTTTGAAGAGCCAATGAAAATAGATGCAAACAGCTTAAGTCGAGGAAACAGCAAAAACTCAACTTTGTAGTAATATTGAGCAACCAAATTTGACTTCTGTGGTAAAATTTATATATGTTGCACACATAGGGGTAATCTTGTTATACTTTTTAGGGGAGTCTTCACAACTATCCCAAAATACAGATTTCTGAGAGTTTTCAGACGTGATAGTAGCCAGGCAGTGAAAATGCTCAGATGACCACCCGAGACATGCTTAAAGTTCATAATTTTTTTTAATAATGTTTGTAATGAGCAATAATTGAAGACATTACAAGACATAAGATATATTTCATGCTTGGTATGTAATAGGACTCAGTCAGTCATATAGTAGTTATGTCAGTGTGAATACAAGCTAAGCTTGCAACAAACATGGGTTTGGCATTTGGCAGCAGGCCGGTATGTGATGTACTGTAAAATCTGTATTAGAAGCCGCAGATTCTATTAAAATGGTACATTACAACATATGAGAAATGGTGAATTTTTGGGTCTCAATTGTTCAAAAAGAATGGGTGCAGCTTCCATCAGGGATGCAGCTTTTAATGCAGATTTTATGGTAGTAAGCATGAGAATATCACAAGAATATGTACTGCTAAGTATACACAAGGCATTACTGGTAACAGTGATTGTATTGGTCAATGCAATCCCACACTGCCTGAGTGCATACTTTACGCTATTCTCATGCCATTATCATACAAAGTCATGTTTTCCAAAATGTTTTTTATGATAAATTTATGATAAATTCAGAGGTACATTATTTGGGGATTGCAAGTAGCGTGACATGATATCAAGATCTTGCTTCAATCACGCTCTCACATAAGCGTTCCCAACTCAGAACAATGCGAATGCCCAAGGTAACTAGGATACTGGGAGGTCCAGGTGGATCAAAATAGCTGCTCACATTATGACGAATTACAATCAATATATTTCCTATACATTTTCGATGTATTACATTTTTTCACTATTATAGTGGTAAGACATGTTTTGTTGTTTTATTGCAAACCTTGAACATTGATACATGTCATGTCAGTGCTATGTGCATTGCAAAATTCTAATGTTTTCTGTGCAAGATATACAATGTATAACAATTATATAGTTACCTACCCAGCATAAGTCCCGGATATAACTGTTGTATATACATAGGATTTACAAGATTTGTCAACTTTTCTTCCCATTAGACTTGTCATGGACGGATAATGAAAAGCTACAAATTAAAATGAACCCAAATGTCACAAATTTGAATATTTAAACACAAAGGCAGCTAGCTGGTGTTATAGTAAGTAGTGGGTACAGTAGGATTTATTACAGTAGCTATGGGAACATTATAGGCATGGATATATTTGGTATAGATACATGTATAGTAGATATGGATATAGTAGATACTGCGAGTGGTTAGTGCGAGTAGTACTAATCCGAAATAGTACTAGATCTAGTGGAAAAATGTACATAGTGCGAGAGACATTATTATGAATTGTCAAGACATTCCGTAATTATTGTCTGATAATAAATTAATGTTTATGCAAAATTGTTTTATCATTTATTCATTGGAAATGTGCTACAGTGAAAAAATTGAGAGTGTACATAATTTTCATTGCTATTCACTTTGTCTTTTGTTGTAATGAACTTTGGGAATACTAGGAAATTGCCATGTTTTCAAAATCGTGATCAACTGGGAAATCATATTTAGCTTTATTGACAGTGAAATTGTAGATTGAACTTTGTAATTTTTACAGATTACGAACAGAGACAATTGTGGTTTCAATTATGGCATATGTACAAACTTGTATATAAGCTGTGGCATTGCTTTGATGAACTCAGGATTTATTTCCCCGCTGCATGTTGTCGTTTTTATTTGGACTTTTCGAGTCAGAAATAAAATAATTGCCCCCAAAATACTAGGGACTATAAATTAACTCTGTTCGTACTTAATTGTTTTGCATGTGTGTAGTTTGCATTTAAAAAGGGTTAGGATAACAATGCCACTCACACTGTGTATATTTTACCCTTAGATCTAGTGCAATTTCAGAATAGTTCTACTCACACTAACCACTAGCACTATGCCCATTTCAACACACATATATACATGTATTACAGAATGAAATAGACACTGCTATTTCTAGAAACCCTATGAATTCTGGGAGGTCAAAAACCCAATGAATTCTGGGAGGTCTAGAAACTCAATGAATTCTGTGACGTCTAGAAACCCAATGAATTTTAGGAGGTCTAGAAACTGAATGAACTCTCAATACAAATTAAATTAAATTAAAAAGGACAAAGAGTATACATACCTTGTAATGCACCGTAAATAACTCGAAGAAAAACTAAACATTTTAACTGTGATGATTTGTCTTCATACATGTATGCCAAATAAGGTGTTAATAAAGTAAGAGCTCCCCAACACATTGCAGCTAAAGTCACTATGTAATCACCGCCATATCTATCACTAATGTATCCAGATAATATCTGCGTCAGTGCATAACCCCAGAAAAATGAAGATAAAATTAAACCCTACAAACAAAACAGAAATAAAATGGTAAGAAGATGGATTGGTCTGGCAATGAAAATTAACTTAAACATGTAGCATGTGATAATTACAACAATAAACATGCAAAAATGTATAGCCATATTTCAAAACAAATATTTTCGCTTGGATTCAATTTTCGGTATTTTTGCTAAAGGAAGGATTCTGTGAAAATAAAATCCAGCGAATATACTTTTTTTCTATATTTTACATTCAATTTGTCAAAAAGTAATAAAAATATAAATTCCATACAAAAACACCCAAGAATTTTTTTTGGCAAAAATTAAATCTAGCTAAAATATAGTATTTTGTAGTAGCATTCTAAGACAAACAAGTTTATTAAAATAATGAATATTCACAGACATGCACCTGATCAGACAGGTAATTAATTATTTAAAAACTTCATTTAGTAAATATATACATTTATTTTTGTATTCTACTTTTTTTATACTTTATTACTACAACTTAAAGATGCAATATGAACAAATATATGTATATTTTATATATTATATTGCTGTCTGATGTCTAGACTGGATCTGGGTATGATTATCATGAATTAATCGTAGGTCGGGCAAATCAAAAGTTACTTAAAAGTTAGCAATGAGAGAAAAAGGAAACACAACAATATTATTAATTATAAAATTCAAATATAATAATACACATGTGCCATGTTTGTACATACCAAAACAACCCGAGCATGTGTGTTTTCATGAATGTTAATAGTTCATCAAATGAAGACTCAAATGTGTACTACAAGAACAGCATTTCAGTTCACAATGAATCATAGTCCAATTTATTCACCAACACACATTATCAAATAACAATAATAATCAAAGAAAGATTAGAAAGAACTGTGTGCTGAGAGTATTGAAGACACATTAAAAATTAATTCAAAATTACTTGTACACGAGATATTGATGGAAAAGCTGAAAACTAATTATGTAAATCAGGTAATTAATATGAACAGAACAAAAAAATTATGAATTATTATGCTAATTAGAGAATTAATATGAACAAATTTTAACCCAAAATTAATCAGTCTATTGTCCTAGAGCATTTATGTAACAAATTTTATTCAAATGTGATGATCAGTAATTGAGATATCAGTGTTAATTAATTATGTTAATTAGGTGATTAATAAGCATAAATATTTACCAAAAACTAATTGGGTCTCTGCATAGTTCTCTTTAAAAGTGTCATTAAAATTCAATTCGTGGTTCTTTATATATCAGTGGAAAATTATGCAAATTAGGTAATTAATATCCAATTAAAACCAATCAGGTCTCTGCATAGTCCTAGAAGATCTATGTAGCAAGTCTCATTGAAATATGATGATTAGTACTTGAGATATAAGGCAAAAAGCTGAAAAATTAATTATGCTAATAAGGTAATTAATATGCACAAATATTTACCCAAAAACTAATCAGGGGTCTGCACAGTCCTTAAGTAACTATGACCTCTATGTACCAAATTTCATTGAAATGTGATGATTACTACTTGAAATATCAAAAGCTGAAAATTAATTAATTAGGCAAATTAGGTAAATATTATATACTCGTATTACCCTAAAAACTATCAGGTTTGTGCAGTGTCCTATGATATCTATGTACCAAGTACTTGAGATATCAGTGGAAAAGCCGAAATCAATATTGCACAGATTTTTACCCAAAACTAATCAGATCTGCGCATTAGTTTGGAGCATCTATGTGTCAAGTGTCATCAAAATCTAATGAGTGGTTCTTTAGATATCAGTGGAACAGTAATGGAACAGCTAAAAATCAGCTTTTTTACCAAAACCTAATCAAATCTGCGCATTGGCCCAGAACATCTATGCACCAAGTTTCATCAAAAATCAATGTATGGTTCTTGAGATATCAGTGGAACAGACAGACACACACCTTTTTGTGCTTCGCAACACAGGAGTCAAAAATGACATATTCTCATACATATTGCATCTTTTTAAGATGGACTTATTATTCATTATGATGTGATAAAGATAATATTATTATTATTATTATTATTATTATTATTATTATTATTATTATTATTATTATTATTATTATTATTATATAAACATTCTGTAATACATGTAATCTTTTATCTAACTGTAAAGAAATTATTCTTCTTTGGTTTTTAAAAAACATTTTTTTAAACAGAAAAAGATAAATAACTGACTAGTCTGTTTTACTAAAGGATACATGGATACTGATGTAGGTTTGAATTACAAATATGACAAACTCTAAATATAGATATCAAACAATGACCATATACAATTCTAAGGCCAAGATAAACACATTCATGGTTCTGGTCATGTCAGTTAAAAGTACTGATAGTCACAAATTCTTTGTTGGAATTAATTTTTTTTTTAAATTTTAAAAAAAGGGAAAGAAAAATTATAAACAATGAAAGATGTAGATTATACTTAAATATAGTACAGTAAAATCTGTATATAATATAATATATTTATATATTAATATAATATATATATAATATAATATATTAGGGATGCGGCTACTAACAGAGATTTTACTGTACTACTTCTAATGGCACCTTATCCAGGTCTTGTTCAATCAAAGTGACACCTCCTAGCAATAAAAATCTTATTATATAAAAATGCATAATCCATTGAATAACCAGTTGAACATTTTGAATCATATAACAAAAACTAAATGTCATTTCATGTCAATTAAAGCATGTCTAAGAAACACATGGCTGCCAGTGAACAAGATAAGGTTATGTCAACACCATTGTTCCATCCTCTCCTGTTCCATAAGCCAAAAATGGCTGCCAGGGAGTAGCTACACAAAATGAGCCAACTTTGTAGTTAGATTTATATAATCAGAAAAATTACATTTTATAAAACCGTATAGCCTAGTTCCACTAATATGATCGAAACTAAAAATTGCGAAGGTAATAGTTATTTATTTTAATAAGAAAACAGGAAATGGAAAGAAAATAAGATCATTTTTCTCTGTAAGGAAACAAAACTGCCTAAAATTTTGGTAACCAGGCATTCACTTTTTACGATCCCTATAATGTATGCACGTATGTACGTGGTCGCATTGACCTCCACTGCGCGACGGTCAATACTCCTGCTGTACAGTGGAAGTTGAAGGTTGACGTACTGAGTGCATACTTTTTTGTATCCTAGTAATAACCTTATTATTATACATCTTTTCCTCCCAAGGATACATTCTTTGTATGGGGTCCATTCAAACCCCGGGGGGCTTCCATGTTTGTTTTTGTTATTGGAGAATGCATACACACGTAATCGTTCCATATTTGGAATTTGCATTTCCTAATATGGTAGGATGAAAATACTCAGTGCAATACCACAAAATTACAGCACAGTGTAACTAATGGCGTTACAGTGACAGATGAATAATATAATAAGTCTTTATCATCCAAATGTAATAAGAACAATAAACTAATTTTTAACAAGAATAAATGAGTAGTAGTGAAAGATTTTAGAATAAATAACTACAAATACATTATTATTAATTTAATTAAGACTAATTAGCAGGAAGAGGGATACACAAGTACACTTACTGTTTCTGTTTTATTCCATGAGAATTCTTTTGATAATGCTACAGCACATAAAGGAATAGCATTTCTAGCTGCATATGTAATAGCAGTGCCTGTAAACAGGGCTATTGTCCATGCTCTTTTTTCAGCTCTGCAAATAAAAATAAAAAAACATTTACAGATTACTGCCACAATGTAGTCTGAAAAAAAAAAAAATTTATTTAAACATGGTATGCATAGAAGAGATGCAACAAATGCCGTGTGATTTGAATGCACAAATGGAAACCCGTCACTTCGCCTGAAATGAGAGAAATCACAGAAATTCTACTAATATTGGAATGTGTGCTGCAACCAGAGATAGATCTTTAATGGGCAAGATCAGGAGATTTTGGTCACAAAATTGTACAGAAAAAAATTGCATAGGACTGGTTTCGCCTTTTGTTGAGATAATTTGACTACAGTAATCAGTGTTACTGTACACCAGTCACACTATAATATTCAAACCAGGAAAAGTGTGACTAAATGTTGAAAATGTGTACCATCATGAATTTTCCATCATTGTGGTGTTAAATTTAGTACACTCAGCAACTACTCTGGACTTGTGCTTTCTAGACTAACTCTGATGTTCAGAGTATGGTTTAAAACTTCAGAGAACTGCAGGCTCAATCAATCAATGTTTTCAACAAGTCAATGGAAATATATATTTATGTCCATGATTCATGAAAATTGTTTGTAAATGACAAAAATAATGTTGTACTGTAGAATACTTTATTTTCGCTTGGAATTTATTTTCGCTATTTTCACTGAAGGGATGATTCCGTGAAAATAAAATCTAGCGAATATACTTTTTTGCCTATATTTCACATTAAACTCATCAAAAATCACTGAAAATAAATTCCATACAAAACGCCCAAAAAGCCTTTTCAGCGAAAATTAATTCCAGTGAAAATAAAGTATTCCACAGTACTTGTTTTTTACTGAACAATGCAGGTTAATTTATTCAGTGTTTAATGCTTCTCTACAACAGCCCTAAAAAAAATAGAAATTTTAGCTACACTGTGTCATACCCTGTCTCTTTATAAGAATATGTTTGAAAGCACAAATGCTCACCGAGGAATGTTCCATACTATACAGAAGGTAATAACGAATTACTACGACCTGACATGTTTAACCAAAAAGACTGCCAGTAATTTATAATGTGTTTAACAATAAAAACACATGTCAATTAATTGCCTTTGCCTCAGTAACAACATTTGAAATATCAAACTTGCAAAGCGCAGCCTTCGGCTGTTGTCGAGCCATGGATGCACGACGTTGTCAGAGTGGGTGCTATTTACCTTTGATCACTGGGTGCCCATGTATTAAACAGGTTGCCATGGATATAGCAAAATGTGGTGGATGTGCAGCAAATGAATGTGCACTGTTTTCAATCAAGCAGATGAGCAAAACATGTATGAGTAACTGTCAGAATCTTGATTTATCTGTACAAATCCCAATTACTTTTTGAATTTGATGCAATTTGCTTGAATTGCCACATAAGAGTATTCAAATTTAGTTTATTGCTGATGTACTCATGTGCATTTCATGTATTATGTCTTGCGAGTGTCCACACCGTTTTGCTATAAAGCAGTACGTGATTGAATGTCACTCTGACAACACCACAAATCCAGAACTAGTCGTTGCCTAACCATTTGTTGTGTGGCCGTGATTAAATATTTAAATTTGATGACAGCTGATGAGCAGTATATACAAATTTTCACAAATATGTTTATAGTATATTTTATTTGACTCAAATTAATGAATTGGAAATACATTAACCATGGTCATATGATGATATATATGATATATCAAATGTACAATAGTATACAAACAAAAATGAAATTACAGAAAACCTATATTGATAACCAGTGGTAGCCAGCTCATTTAAATCAAAATATGAATTTGAACAATATCGACTTGTAAAAAATAATAATCATAGAACAAGTATAACCAAATTTAGAATCTCTGCTCATACACTGCCAATTGAAAGGTTAAGATACAAAGGTATGCCTTCAGAGGAAAGAATTTGTAATTTGTGTGAAGACAAGGCTATTGGTGATGAAATACATGCATTATTCGTTTGAAAGAACAAAAGGTTAATAACTAGTCGTACACAATTTATTAATACTTTTAGATAGTCTACTACCGGTAACATTATCAGAACAAAACATGTTCAAACAAATTTTAAGTTCAAATGATGGTTTTGTTACCAACAGTCTGGGAAAATTCATCAATGATATTTTAACAGAAAACAAAAATTAAACTTTTAATATTTAACATTTGTCTAACATTTATTTTATATTCTTACAGTGTTTGTTTATTTGTTTGTTTGTTTGTAAAGTAATGTATATTGGCCATAGATGATGCATTTTCCATGCATTATTTTGTGTCAAATAAAATATACTATTCTATATACTATGATACCATACACTGTAATGCCTGTAAGCCTGAATATATATTATAACCTCAGAATATAGATTCTTCATTAGTTACATTGCTACCCTAGTGACTGAAATCTACAATATCGACATCCAATTATTGTCACGTGACCTGAATAACGATCGAGACGTACTCGAGTTGTGTACTCAGTGTCGTGGTTGCCATTGGAGTCAACTAGAGTCAAGACGTGACACACCCCCTCATTGGTCAAACCTAAAGGTCGCTAACCTTTCCTACACACTACAAAAACAAGCGTGTTGACCAATTACTAATTATTCTAAAACCATAAACAGAAAACGACGCACCTAGTCCAGTGATGTACCGCTGTCGCTGCTGTGTTACTATTTTGTGGATCTGATAAACTGATTTGCAACGTGGAAGGCGTTTTTATGATGGAAGCAGCCATTTTACAAATTACCCACAGTCCTCTTCGGTGGATGTTAAATTTATATTCAATTATGAGCAAATATATAATTTATTGTTGACAAAATAGGAATGCATATCACTGATATATCTATAGTAAGTCATATATTATTGCTTAGATATCTCGCAAGTACAATGCAAGTAAAAAAGACACAAAACTGAAATGAGGTCATGTGTTGAACTTTGACCTTTGAGGTCATTACAATGACAACAAAACGATAAAACGTTTACACATCCTGGGTTTGGAAGGTTGAGAGTACTAGTATTCCATTGTCATAGTAAGTTACTAAAAAGTCCATTGATTTACTAATGACTTCACCAAAAGAGTGATATATCACAGGAAATGCAACAACAGCTCTGTAGTTCGAATAAACGCTCAACACAAGCGAGTTCGCTTTGAATGACTACGATCGGCGTCTGTTTCAACACAACACCAATATGGACTCTGATTACGAACAGTTAGAGACAGTCGGAGATAGATTAATACCAGTGAACGATGATAAAGATAACTTGAAATCAGAGACCAATAGCAAACTTTGGACAAGGTGAGTTTTAGTCCAATTTGTCAAACCCAAAATAGTCGCGGTTGGAGCGACGACGATTGGCAAGAGTTCCTTTTGTACATCCCTAACCCTAACACTCACTCCCAGTTACCCAATTCATTTGTATATGCCCCCTCTAGATAACTATAGATGTCCTTAGGAGGGGCACGTACATTTAAATGGGGAGAGCTGGAGGGGAGGGCTAGGGTTAGTGATGGGGGGTGCAAAAGGAACTCTTTCACAGTGTAGCTAATATTACATTAAAACTTTTATTATATATGGAATATTGATCTGGAAAGTTTAAAGAAGTTTAACCTTTCCGGTAACCTTCTCCCATTTTAATTGTATATGCCCCTCTTCAGAACACATAGATAGATAGATATTTTATTTGACAATAATAAATTTAGTAAGAATGAATGAATGAATGAAAAAAACATACAATAAATCAATGATCAAGAAAAAAAAATATAGTTATACAATGTACATATACATGTAGTTATCAGGAGGAGCGTATACAATTACATTTGGAGAAACTTATCACCAGATTTCCTTGACTTTTAACCGTATGTTTTGTCTTTTGCTGTTGCTCGCAAAATGCAGACAAAAATGTATGGTCGCCAAACTAGTTGGTACTATTTTTGTACAAAAAAGTGTGTCAAACACCAAGGAAAATAGTGATTTTAAGGCATTTGCCATAGATTCTCATGGTAAAAATGTTATAAGTCTTATGTTTGTCCCAAATTATTTGGTGATTCTGATGAATACTATTAAATAATTCTTTAATACAAATTCTTATAGAAATAGTTCCAAAATATCCATTTTTTAGACTGAGTAAAAATCCTTAAGTCAATGACTGATGTCTAAATATATAATTATGCAACACTTTTCAAACAAATAAATGTGATAATTAATTGCTTTGACCTTAACAATAGTTGAAGTACTCGTTGATGTATTATCTGAAGTCTCGAACATATAAAATCCACCATGAATTGGAATCAGCAGTTACGCGATGTTTGCGAGTTATGCGTGTCAGAATCTGTTTGATGTTTTTTGTATGCTACTGAAAATTCACATACTACTTCATATTCCAAATGTACAAACAGGCATTGAAATATATAAATTTTTTCCCTGCATGCACAGTGTGCATGTTAAATTTGAAATTTACCTGCACTAACTTGTTGAGAAATGCACTACTTTTAAAGTTTAAATGAAATTTATGGTTTATCGATTGATGCGATCATGAAAGAATTTGCCTTTTTTAGTTGTCTTACAATGTTGGTTGAACATAATTTAGGCTTAGTGAATATGAGAAAATGTCGCGTTAATTTCTACATGCACAGCGTGCACATTATATTTTGAGTTTACTTGCACTAGCTAATAATCTATGTGCATAGTGCAGTGTGCACCAGGGTATTTCGATCCCTGACAACCAAATATATTGGATAATACAGCTTTAAAGAACTGTACAACCTTAAAGAACCGTACAGTATTAGAAAAAATAAATTCTGCAAGCACGCCGGAACCGTCGGACAAATATTTTATGCAGTGTCATACACACAGCTGTAGTCATTTAAATACATGTAGTATGTAAGTTACTGTAATTTATATATACCGGTAATATTTTTCTATTCATTTTTATTGATATTTGTTAAGAGATAAATATCACAATGGATAATAGAATCCTTTCAATACTCTGTTTCTTGAAATGCCATTCTGTGATTCTTGAATTGAACAAAAGACTGTCCACTAAAGTGACCTAAACCAAGTCAAATCCGGATGATGAAAACCATGTGTGCTGATGTACCAGAATCTTATTTGAAATAGGAAACATGTACTTTCTACTACTGTGGAATACTTTATTTTCGCTTAGAATTAATTTTCGCTGAAGGAATGATTCAGTGAAAATAAAATCCATTGAATATACCCTTTTTCCTAAATTTTACATTCAACTTGACAAAAATCAGTGAAAATAAATTCCATACAAAACACCAAAAAGTCTTTTCAGCAAAATTAATTCTAGCTAAAATAAGTATTTTGAAGTAATAAGGGGACGCCTTTTTGAAAATAGCATATTTTATTATTTACATTTATTTAATTCTAATCATGCTTACATGTATGTATTCATTAATTATTTTAATTATTATAATTAATTTTACCAAATGTTTTATTTTCATACAGACAAGAGCGTTGGATGTGGTCACTGGCTTTATTTCTGCTGAGTGTGTTTAATTATTGTTGTCGTAATGCAGCACCATTATCTGCTATATCAATGGAGCAAGAACTAGACTGGAATAAAGAGCAAACAGTAAGTATACATAACTCTTGTCAGTGAAAGCTGATTTGAATCGTATTTCTACTGTGACAATAATTGTATGGTTCTGTGAAAACAAATCTAAAAATCTAAAAACATCTCAGTGATATCACTATTATTAAAACATAGAAAAACTTGATCACAGTAAATCATTCAATTATAGTGTGATAATTCACATACATGCAAGAAAGAAGAATGTGTTTACCAAAAAATATATGCAAGACTATCCAAAATGCGGACATTTTGGAACATTTTCCATAGGAATCCATGTAAACACATTATTCCATGGATAACTGGTACTAATTTTCGAAATTCATTTTTTAGCATAGGTCACCGAACCAAATTTTGCGATATGATGGATTGTTTCTGCCATAGAAACCAATTGTAAACTATTCAAATAACACATTTTTGATCATTTTTCAAAGTCGCTTTGTTGAAAAATTAGTCTGATGACCATATATTTTTAATTCAGAATTTTGAACATTACAGTAACCCAAGAAAACTACCTTAATATGATATCTAGGAAGTACCGTATTTATCTGGGTAAGCACTCAGGGTCCTTAACATGGAAAATTGCCAAAAAATAGGGGTGGGCGTTTGCCAGGACATCCCCCTGCAAAAAAAAAACGAAAATCAGTGAAAATTGACAACACGCAGAACTGCGACAGGGAATAGAATGTCAAATGAAGACATGCAACGGAAATAAATGAACAATATGCAGCATTAGAAGAGTAACAAGAAATAATTTATTGCTTAGAATGTGACAAATAAACCAGAAATAATAAGAATCAACAATGAAGAATTATTTGAATTAGGATTTCTCTGCCGACAAACACGCCCAATACTCATGAACTCGTAATGAATTAAAGTGTCAGGGGTTAGTTAAACTGCATAAAATTATTTCTGGTTTTGACAAATACGGGATCAACAGCCATACATGTACAAGATCAATAATAATTTACGCAGTAAAATTACCAAAGTTCATTGTTGTTTGAAAAAAACCCATCTCAGATCTTTATTTGTACTTTCATTGTTATCTTCGTGAAAGTCAAAACCCTCAAAGTCCAAATCACTACTAGTGTTTCATCATAGAGGTCCAGTCAACATTGCTTTTTTATCAGACTAGGCGCTCATTAATCATGGTGAAAGTTACCATTCAGCTAGTTCCGGTGGTTGGAATGTCTCACTAATGTATATCGCAGTGGGCTTGAAAGAGGAAGAATTTTTTTCTCAAACGACAGAAGAATAATTTCCATGACAGAAATGCAACAGTTGTGATGAAAGAGGCAACAAAGTCAAAATTTTGACTTACCGTAGCATCTTGAAATATTGACATGTTATCTTGAAATTTTGATTTTGCTTTGTCGAAATTTTGAGATGTTAGGAAAAAATTTGGGATATTGTTTTTTTACACTTAAAATTTGGCGCTATGGGGCTTCCATAGAAGTATCCAGTCTGTAAAAGTTTTATCATTTATCAATGGAAATAAATGAAATTGTTGCGGAAGTACCGTATTTACTTTATTAGAAGCACATTTTCAAAAAAAGAGAAATTATAAATCAAAAATAGCATTTATTATATTGTAGAGCATTGAAATGTGTTTTTATTTACATATTAAGTGCATGCTCTAGTAGCAATAATAGGGTGAATATGGTAGTTCTTGGGTCACTGATGTGGTTGCATGACTGGGAAATAAAGATACATTAGATTCTTGAGTTAAATCTTAAATGCTTATGGTTTATGCAAAATCAACTCAATACAGTTTGGGGAAACAAGCAATCTCACTGCACCACACTTTATATCCACTACGGTAACTCTTGAACTATTTGGACCCTGAAATTAAAATTATTTTAACTCATTATTTGCACACAAATATACTGCGCATACCAGCATATTGTGCTTGTAATTTATTAAAAAATAATAATTGAGGTCAGAACTAACGTTCTTTAAAATTCCACAGCAGGAGGGACTTGAGGGAATAATTAGAAATCCCTATTTTATTCTATATATGGTAGGAATTTATTCACAAGACCCCTAGCCTCCCAGAAAGAAGTTGTTCTAATAGACCCATAATTTTTCTTCAAGCCTTTAGACCCCTAAAACCAGTATGAGAGTAATTTTAGCCTTGAAATGCTTCTTAATTTAAGTTATATATTTTTGTTGGGTTTTGTGTTTGACAGTAAATTGCGATTTGTATTTTTCTGTGACCATATTGAGTTGATTATTAGGGGAGGAATACAAAAATAATGTTTTCAGACAATCTGAAGTTACCCGGTTTTTACCTATGTCCTTTTGATGTAATGTCTGTTACATAAATATTTCTGATAACCCACAAGCTGTATGTCAAGCTAAAAATAATTTCTCTTGACATGAGAATAATGTCTGTGACATAAGCAAGTTTATAACACAGTTCTAAATTCCACAAGGTAATATTCTAGTAATAAAGGCAACTAAAATAACTTCCACATCCTCTGAATGTAACGTCCATCACTGTGGAATTGCCCAGCTGATTATTTGCAATAATAAAAATAATAAATTTATTTTGTTAAAATGTAATTTCAAAGGCTAGTATAGATAATACCTCAGAAAAAACACACACTGTGAAATAACTTATTTGCACTCTCATTTAATTTCACTAATTCTTAAAGTTCACTTTTACATGGTCATGTGAATTTAATTTAGTGGTTTTTACGTATCAGAGAAAATGGCGAAAGTAAATTTTGTTGAATATTTAATGTATTTACAGTAGTTTTCACTGAAAAATAGTTGCAGGTGATGGTTGTAGAAATGAGGGAGTGAGGATGCCATTTGTTTTCATATTTTTCCAAAATTTTGATCTTCATATAGTCTAAAATTATCAATTAATTTTTCAAAATATAAAAAATGTTGTTGCTCAAACATAGAAAATATTCAGTTAAAAATTATGCAGATCTTGGTGTGATTGCAAAGGTATTACCATGCAAAAAATTGAGAATTCTTAAAAATAATATTACAATGTGAAATAGTTTGATATTTAATTTTCTAGGGTTTGGTTCTGTCAAGTTTTTTCTGGGGTTACACAGCCACACAGATTCCTGCTGGATATTGTAGTGATTTATACGGTGGAAGTCAAGTAATAACCATGGCAGCTATTGGATGGGGTACAATTACAATGTCATTACCAGGCTTTATCTATCTATTCCCAAATAAATCATCACAGTTATTAATGGTAGTTGTGCATAGGATAGTATTTGGTGCATTACAAGGTATGATCAGTGTATGATCTCATCAACATATGACTTCATTGGTGTATGACCTCATCATTAGTATGTATGATGTCATCAATGTTTGACCTCATTGGTATGTATGATGTCATCAATGTTTTACCTCATTGGTATGTATGATGTCATCAATGGTTGACCTCATTAGTATGTATGATGTCATCAATGTTTGACCTCATTAGTATATGATGTCATCAATGTTTGCATGACCTCATTAGTATATATGATGTCATCAATGTGTGCATGACCGCATTAGTATATATGATGTTATCAATGTTTGCATGACCTCATTGGTATGTATGATGTCATCAATGTTTGCATGACCTCATTGGTATGTATGATGTCATCAATGTTTGACCTCATTAGTATGTATGATGTCATCAATGTTTGACCTCATTAGTATATGATGTCATCAATGTTTGCATGACCTCATTAGTATATATGATGTCATCAATGTTTGCATGACAGCATTAGTATATATGATGTTATCAATGTTTGCATGACCTCATTAGTATGTATGATGTCATCATTGTTTGCATGACCTCATTAGTATATATGTCAATGTTTGCATGACCTCATTAGTATGCATGATGTCAGCAATGTTTGCATGACCTCATTAGTATGCATGATGTCATCAATGTTTGACCTCATTAGTATGCATGTTGTCATCAATGTTTGACCTCATTAGTATGCATGATGTCATCAATGTTTGACCTCATTATTATGTATGACCTTATCAGCATGTACTGCAAACAATTTAATTTTTGCTACTATCGCCGGGTAGAAATTTTTGTAATTTTAGAATTATATGGCATTTGTGAAGACAAATTTACTCTGTGTTGTAATTTATTTTATTACAATTTCACAATTCATAGATGTGTAATCTTTGCCGTGGATTGATTAGCATTTGCAGTGTTTTCGAAATTTGTTGGGTGCGATCAGATTTCTCATGGAATTAACTTTAATTGTCATGCACTGCATTTGAATAAAACAATAAAATTGTGTTTAAATTCCGGAACATTTACAAATTGGGATTCATCATGTAACAATCAATGCACATAATGGATATTCAGTGTCAACAAACACAAAGGATATAAAAACATGCCTTAATTCACAGTTCCAAACAATGCCACTGTAATTTATAACATTACATACACTATGAAGACCATAATCATAACTTTGAAATCACAAAAGCTGTTAAATCAGAAATAATATAGATATATGATTTTTACAAAAACAAATTTGTGAAAACGACAGGAGAATCATTCTTTAACCCAAGTTTAACAGTTTCTTGTCAGGTCATTAATCAGATGGACACTATTACCTGCATGTAGTCCTGATAGGATTATGATTGGTGTATGAAAAAAATCATATTTTAGTATGTTAAAAAAGTTTTTCCTTTCAATTGCTAAAATCAAGGGCTTCAAATTGACGAGAAAGACAAATAAGAAATCATAAAATAAGGTTTCTTAGTTCTCTTATTTCTTCTGTTCATCCTTGGTTTGTTGATCCCCCGGTTGATCCATGTTCGATTAATTTGTCAGTTTATTGTATATTTTGACAGCACTTCATTACCCAGCTTCTATTAGCTTATTAAGTACACGCGTTGATCCATTGAATAAATCTAAGGTATATTCTATGGTTTCATCAGGAAGTTCAACGGGGTAAGTAAAACTATCCATCTATGTATGAAAACAATGGAACAACTAAGTTTATCATATGACCATTTATGATATCTGTGCTGTCCTGTTTTTTTGCTGGTGGCAGCAATATTTTGCATGGCCCAGTTTTATTTTTTGATAAAAAAATTAAATAAATAAAAACAACAAAAAATAACAACAACATAGAGCACAACTCCGAATTGAGAGATAACATTTATTTTTTGTAAATTCAATAATACAAACAAAAGAGACTTCAAATGTCAACCTGGACATAGAGGGCGCTACCACAGAAAAGTGAATTCACTAAAAACTTTATTTTAGCTGGAATCAATTTTCGTTGAAAAGGTTTTTTGGGTGTTTTGTATGAAATTTATTCTCACTGATTTTTAATGAGTTGTAAGTGAAATATAGAAAAAAAAGTATATTCACTTTGATGAAAATAAATTCCAAGCAGAAATAAAATATTCTACAGTACACAGTTTTAGGCTTACTTTACACCACATGTAAATTGTGACTTTATCTGCATGTAACTCCACATATGTACATATTATAGACACACTCTTGACTCTATTTGTGTATTATTTCAGTGTACTTGTATCTGGTCTCATTGGTTCCTATCTACTCAGTAAATATAATTGGCATATAGTATTTTATTTCTTTGGATTCTGTTCTGTTACACTGGCAGTGTTCATCAGAAAAACTTTAATGAAAAAACATGCAGCTGTGCAGATAGAAATAGTAAAAAAAGGAAAGGAAAAGAAAAGAAAAGCGGTACCGTGGAGATTATGGTTTAAAAGTAAAGCTTTTTGGTATGTATATATTTATAAGTTAGTTATTATTATCAGAAACAGGGACTATGTCTGTCCCTCTATCCATTCAATGTTATTTCTCATGCATGCTTGAATTGTTTTTCTCAGTTAGTGCAGAGTCAAGTCATGATAGGAATGACATATTGGCCCCAAAAACACTCAACATATAAACATTTATTTACCTTTTCTCTGTCTTATCCGAGCTGATTACATTGGTATGCAAATTACATGTGTTATGTTACTGATGCGCATTGTTTTGTCATTTGATTCAAAATGGCGGACTGGTGGCCATGTTGTTTTATTTTCATATATCTTAATTCTCAGATGTATCTTGACTGATTTTGTTCAAAGGAGGGATAATACAAAAACTTAACATAAGCCCAATAATAATAGATGCAGTAATACCAGTATATAGTTGTTATTTGCAATACATTGTTGCTTTCATCTGCATTTGTATGAAATTGTTTCTTTTCACACCTATGATGTTGCCTTCTCTTTGGGATGTCTGGTTATCATCTTATAAAAGATTGACCTGAAAAATTACAATTAGGGACATTGTAATTCTTGGCTTTTCATTTAGCATAAAAATAAATAGAATTTACCATTCCTTGTAAAGTTGTATTTGCATTTGGTCTAAACATATTTGCACTATTCTACCTTTCCCCTATTTGATGTCAAATTTATGTCACAACAATAGACCATTTCCTGTTTACTGTGAGATCCCATGTTATGTGTGAAATTGAACATAAAAACAGGAGAATCAAATGTCATAGCACTATAGTTGCATCAAAACATCACATGGGATTTCTGAAATATGCTATACACACTTGATGATGGTCAAATTAAATAAAGTAAGCGTATCTCATCGCAATACTCCCCTTTGAACAATTTTGAGTCTGCATCTTTCACGTAATATGCAAAATTTTGCATTAAACAGGAAAATCACCTATCATGTAAATATATTGAATTCCAAATGTTATAGGATTTAGTTTTTTATAGTTGGTATTTCAATCATTTTCGTATCTGTACTTAATCATTCACTCCTTTGACATTGTACTTGTTTTAAGTTT